CCACCCACCCCTCCGCCCGAGGCGCGTATAAAGGCCCAGGCGCAGGCCGCCCCGGCCCATTCCACGGCGAGCAGTCGTAGCGAGCGCACCGCGACCTCGGCACCGCAGCGCACCAGGCCAGGCCTCCTCACCAGCTCACCACCCGCTCACCGTCTGCAGCAGGTGAGCCCGCCAACATTCATACTACTTGATTGAGGAGGAGAGAAGTGACCTACAATGAGGACGCCCATTGAATAGAATACAGCCTAACGGCCCAGGCTAGTCTCTGAACGCCGATCTCACGCGCGCTGATTTGATCCGCTTATTAAGTTATACCTAACTGTGTGGAATATTCCGTTAGAGACCTTTCCGAAGAGTCAGTTCAATTTTTTATCAAAACCGATTGATCATACAAGGTTCCATATACTCCGACGTACTGATACAAAATTGACCCCACGATCGAAACAGGTCTGCCCTTTTTTCCCCGGTGCAGGTCGCCCGGCGCGCACATTTCTATTTCATCGGTTTCGCGGCGCTGTTTGAATTTTTAAAACGCACGTATGCCGCACGTTAATGCGACGTTCGGAAACACGACCACGGTACGACCACGGCACGACCACGGCGGCGGGGCCCGGTGCGGACGGAAGACTGGCAGCAGAGTGACACTCGGCGACAAAACAGTCATCCAGAAGTGTCACTCCAGGGAGGAGTGCCTCACGGAAAGGGCAGCCTCGGGGCGCTTCTCTGGTGGAGTGGTAACCGAAGAGCGCCCCGTGCGGCCCGCCTCCTACCTGTCGTGTCCAGCCCCGCCCCGTCCCGCCTACGTCTCCGACCCCGCTCGCCCCACCCACAAACTGCCTCGCCGTTGTTCAAACACGGCGATGGATGGAACGAAAACGCCTGCACTGAAACACTGGTGTGAGGAAAAGTGCGCTCTTTTGAAAAGTGTTTCTCGTGAACGCATCGCCGCCCCACCAAGGAAAATCTAACAAAAACCTCCTACGCGAACAGGCTGTGAAACCTGGTCTCAAACAGTCGTGGAAACAGTCGTGCTGAACCGACCCTCAAAAGTTTGAACTGTAAAAAGTAGAGCGTGGTACATCTTTATAGTTTAACGAAATAGCCTCAGAAACGAACCGCCTGACGCACAGTAACAACAGTGCTACGTGGGTGATGCGTTTCAATAGAACGGGTGAACATGGCTCGTGCCCGAACTGACGCCCGGATTGTTTGTACCAGAACTGTTGAAGCGCGAGGCGTATAATTACGCCTGTCTCGAACTGTCTGTGGCGCGAATATAACTGACGGATCCGTGCCTTGGCGCCCCCGACGCACCTGTCTCGTGTGCTGAACATACGCCTCCGGTCTCCGGTATCGTCACGCTCGTCTCCCACTATGGGGCCTCAACTTCAACCTGCGTTCCCGGGCTGCTCTACAGGACCTCGGTGTTGGGCTGTCGAGAGGGGTGTCCACTCGCGTCACTGGGAGGTCGGACCAGATCGTATAAATGCTCTCGGTCGGCCTTCGGAGGTCGCGATCGGAACCGGCTTACGGCGAATTTCAAGCTATAGTGAATCCTCCAGCACCGCACCGGTACCGGTGAAAAATGGCGAAAAACAAAGTTAATCGGTATATAGAGATTGGTGTAGGTATTCGTCCGCACGTGGCCGAGCGTTGCGGCTGAGCGCTTGCCATTGCCGCCCGGCTCTTGACTTATTAAAACCACTTCCTCTTCCAATCTGATTGAGCAGGCTGCGCGCGCGGCCGGCGGGAATGAGTGAGCGCACCGAGTGCCCTCCGCAACGACGCGAACCCAACTAAACAGTCTAGCTGCGCCTGCAGGCCTCGCTCTACGCTCGCTCTTCTTTGTGTGCGCATCGGGTTTGTATCCGAGCGGACACTGTGCACTTTTTGCAAATTTTGCCTACTCCTTCCGCCGCGACCGTTCGCGAAGGGCCCTTTCTGCGAGCCGAGAGCATGTGCAAAACCGCAACCTCGACCGCGGTCGTTGCGCGCAACGCTGCAGCGTCCGCTCTGATAGGTACGGTACGTGGTGCGTTGTACGTTGTTCAGTTTACAGTGCAAGGGTAGAGTTATTGAAACATTGTGAAAACACTTTCCAGAGCAGAGCAAAGAAAAGAAAACAATAACCCACACAGGCACAAGCGCGTGCGCGCGGGGGTTGGTTTGTGCCCGCCCGGTTCGGTTTAGAGCTCTGCAAAATTGCCGATACTGGCCGGGCCGCTGGCCGCGTGCAAGGTGAGATTTGTAGCAAAAAGGGACAGTGTGGCAGAGTTTCGGTCGGTCACTTACTTTTGCAGAGCTCTGGTCCGTGTGCAGGCTGCAGGGGTGATGCTGTGGCCCCCCTCCCCCCGCCTCGTCCAAGTTCATATTTTGCGTGACCGGCGCGGCCGATGCCATGCACAATATAATTGCCAGCTGGCCTTTGTGATCGCCCGGCAATTATTATTCTCCATTTCTGCGCTCGCTGTCCCCCTCTAGCCACGCTCTCAGTCGCTCCCTCAGACTGCGGCGAGCAGCGGGCGCACCGTTCGGCGACCCCGCGCTCCGCTCTCGACCCGTTCGCGCCCCCGGGCCCAAAGACTGGACGAATGGGATAGTCAGGTCAGCAGCCTGCAGGCTGTCGGCGTCAGACGTCACCTGGCATATGACCGGGCCACCCGCGTCGCAGCGTAAAAAATCTAATCAAAATAAGCGTGAAATGCACGGGGCAAGCCAGTGTAGGTTTTGCCACACATACTTGCACTCGCGCGTGGCGCTATCACTCTTATTTAAGTCATGTGAGGTCACATTAGTTTGCACGTCAGAATTGTCTTACTGGTTAATAATACATGATCTAACATTGGTTCTAATGTGAGTCGGCCAGGCTCAGTATGGTAAATTATAAAGTCACATCTTAAATAATGTGACATTGGCATCGGAAGGAATGTGACAGTTTTGGCTGGGAAAGAAATGTGACGTCACATGAATTGTTTATCAGTGACTGCGCCTTGCCTCGCCTTACCTCACTCCTTGGGTCGTCCAGAAACGACGTCCGTTTTTTATTCAGATTCATTCGCCAAAGTACGGGAGTTCGGCGCCTGCGAGACTCCGGTTAGGCCACTCCGCCGTACACGCATGCACTGCAGGCAAGATGTTGCCTACCTATAAGGCGCTATGAGAGCTTGTGGGCTGAACTTGGCAATTTCATAACGGCGAATAACGGACGTGCTGACGTGTTTTCTGGATGATAACTTCTACACTGTTGACACACTTCTACAGAATTCAACAAAAACAGTTAATTATAGAAACAGTCCTTTGAAAATAGTTTTTTTAACGGCTGGAGAAGGGTAGGCAAGCCTGCAATAACACCGACGTCCTCCCTGTTACACAACATGTGCTTAATACAGCAATGGATTCAACTTGTCCTCATGTCGCAGCAGGAGCGTAATTTAATTTGTTGAGTTTCGCCGTAAACTTGGCCCTGCCAAACGTTTATGTCGGAGCGCGTTTGGGTTCCGGTCGGCGAGCTCTGTTCATTCGGCAACGTCCCCCACCCCGACCCCTCCGCCCGCCCGTGTATACCTGCGGATCTGCTTGCCGTTGCAGCCACTTTTGCTGAACCGAAATGAAAACACGCTAAAGCTCTCTGGGGCCTCCTCCATAATCATGCCAGCACAACAAAGAAGTCCAGTAGGGCGCTGTGTTGAGTTGGGGAGGAGGAGAAATGGGGGGGGGGGGGGGGGGGGGCAGGGCAGCCACCATCGCCTATCAGCGGAGCAGTGTGGACCGCCACATCACAAAGTGCCTCCCCGACGCAAACGCATTGCGTCTCGCGCACTCTCGCGCCTCTAGACTGCCAACGAGTGCCAACGACGAGACAATAATATCAATCGCGCCATCAGTCGGGAACGAGGTCGGGAACTATGAAGGACCCTTCAAAAAAGGGCAAGATATGGGCTGTAGTGTCCCTTTCTATCCCTCCCCTACCCCTCCCCCCTCACTCTGCCGAGCGTGACTTGTTGTTAAAGGCCTCGTGGGCGTGGAGGGAAATATGAAGCTGTTATTTCATTACTATATTATTCGACGGAAGGAATTTTTCATCTGAAGAGTTCCGCGCTACCCTTCGCTGCGTAATGCGTGCAATTCGTTCTGACTGAGCCGGGGGCATCGCGGATTGCATGCGGCATCAGCTACGCCTGTAGAGTTTGAGAGAGTGAGTGTGAGAGACATGGCGCTGAGAGAGAAAGAGAGGGAGAAATGAGGGAGAAATGAGGGAGTATTCTATTTTTAAGTGTCCGAAGTAAGTACCAATCCGAAATAGGTTGAGTCGTCGTAAGCGGAAAAGCGGAGCACGCACTCAGGAACTAG